CAAAGGGGAAGGGGGCATAAAGATGAGTTTCTGTATGAAATTCATAAAAATTCAATAAAAATGTTTTTAAAAAGTATTTTTAAGTTCTGAGGATAAAACGTGAAAGGGACAGCTTTAACAGTATATAAAAACCTAGTGCAAATGTTTGCTACATATTTAAACAAATCTGGCATTTGCTATCCTCTTTAAAAATATTTTATTTATTTTATTTTGTATGTATGAGTGTTTTTCCTGCAGTTATCCAAGTGCACCACGTGTGTGGCTGGCACCCAAGGGGCCAGAAGGGTGTTGGATCCCCTGGAACCAGAGTTGAGGATGGGTATTAGCCATTGGGAATCAAACCTGCATCCTCTGAAAAGCAGTAAAAGCTCTTACCGTGAGCCATCTCTCTAGTCCCTGTTATCCTTGATATGACTGCTATGGTTTGGATGTAAAATGTCTTCCACAGGTTCATGTGTTTTAACACTTAGTATCCAGCAGGTTGTGCTGTTTTGGGAGTAGACAAACAGCTCCTGCCACAGTTTGCACTGACAAACTTCAACATGCCTTCCTCCTGTTTTGTAATGAATTTTAACCCCTTAAACTGAAGAACAATAAATCCTTCCTCTGTACGTTATTTGTTCCAAGTATTTTATCATAGAAGAGAAAAACTAATACAGGAACACTCTTTTACCTTTAGTGCATTTTTGTTTGCAACTATAATAACATCCCTGAATCTCAGACTTAAAAGGAGAGCAGAAGACTGATTGTGGTTACAGCCCCCAAGAGAGAAAGGCAAGCAGATTTCTGTGAGTTCCAGGCCAGTCAGGGTTACAAAGAGAAAACTCGTCTTTTTAAAAAAACAATTTATAAAAAAAGAAAGAAAAATAGATAGCAAGAAAAGGGAAAAATCTGGGACATTTCCATTACAAACTTCTCATGACCAAGAAATAAAAACTAACTTCCTAGGACTTCATCCCTATCAGGGACAACCCTGATAGAAACAACCAAACAATTCTTCTGTAGCCCAAAACCTGGACAATTAGGCTTCTACACCTCTTTCTGGTTATCAAAAACTGGAGTAGTAATTGTACCACATGCTCTAACTGAACAGTTAAGTAGTGAAGCAATTTAGAGTAGAGCTTTTTTTCAATTTCAGAAAAGCTACAAACTGACACCCTATTAATGCTAACACCTAGAAAACCAATTTTTAATTTTTCTCTTCATCATATTCCAGAGATGTTACCTGTACAGTAGTGACAGAAATGACAGTTCTAAACCCAGAAGAATATTACAATCTATAATAAAACAAACTTAAAATCTTTCAGGCAGGAGTGGTAGCACACGCCTTTAATTGGCAGAGGCAGGCGGATCTCTGAGTTCCAGGCCAGATGGGCTACATTTCGAGTTCCAGGACAGCTGAAGCTACAGGGAGATCCTGTCTCAAAAAAAAAAAAAAGTTATTTTCATTTTATGTGTTTGAGTGCTTTGCCTGCATGAATGTAGGTGCACATGGGTACAGTACCCACAAAGGCCAGAAGAGGGCACTGAGTCACCTGGAATTGGAGTTAGGAACTGTTGTTAGCCATCATGTGGGTGTCTGGAACCCAATCCCGGGTCCTTTGCTAGAGCAGCTAATGCTCTTAACTGCTGAGTCATGTCTAGCTTCAGCAACCTTAAAGGTCAGTAGTATTTTGGGCTTTGTCAACTATATGGTAATCTTCATTGTTAACTACTAACTAACAATAACACAAAAACAGCCAAGCATGTGCACAGGTATAGCTCTTACAAAAACAATTATTAATAAAAACCACAAGCAAGGCAGTTTACCAATCTGTCTAGAGTCATAAGTATGTCTGGTATGGGTCAATTACCATGCTGTTACGGATGTAAACATTTCATTCTCACATTTAATACAGAAGCACACATACCTACAAAGAATCCAAGTTTAAGTAAGAAATTCATAGAGGAAAGCCTGGGAGGAAATAAAATAAAATAAAATAATAAAATAAAATAAAATAAACAGTAGCAGAAATACTATAATAATCAAACACAGATACCAGCCTTTCTGTTTGTCTAAGACAGTGTTTCTCTATAGCCCGGGCTGGCCTCAAACTCATGATTTCCTCTGTTTTCTGTCTCCTAAGTAATGGAAGTAAAGGAATAAACTACCATACCCAGCTTTAGCAATTAAAGAAAAAATTAAAAATTTCAAGATTGTAAGTAAAATGGGTAATTTCAGTTTATGATGACTGCTATAAAGAAACAAACACAAGCTGGGTGTGGAACAGCATACCTGTAATCCCAACAGTCAGAAGCAAAAGTTCCAGAAGCTGGAGGCCAGCCTGGCCTACACACCAAGACTCTGTATCTCACTCCACAGATGGGAAGCAAACAGAAGGTAGCCAAATGAAGAGCTGACAGGAGCACTTCCTACAATCACATACACAGGCAAAGAGTGATGGGAATAAAACAAACTGACAAGTGTTTTTGGAAAAAGAAAGAAGTGTGTTCAAACAAAAGCAACTGGAAGAGTGATTTTGAAAATGCAAAGCCCAGGGCTGAAGATATGGCTCAGCAGTTAAGAACACCAGCTGTTCTTGCAGAAGACCGAGGTTTGAATTTCAGTACCCACATGGCAGCTAACAACTGTCCATAAGGCACTGCACAACATGGGTGCACTTACACACATGCAGGCAATACATTACATACACATAAAAAAAATAATAGTAAAGAAAGAAATGCAAAGCCCAAGGGACAAGTCAATAGAAGCAAAGAGGACTCCAAGCAAGGCAGAACCAGCTATGGTTGAAGGGCTACAAGAGCTGTTTCCACTGAGAAAAGAATGATTTGGAAGTTCAGGACCTGCAAACTATCTTAATCCAATGGTCTCCATTCCAACTCCAAGAACTTCCCCTTTCCCAATAAATGCCCTTGCACATAAGAGATGTGACTTCTTTGAAAGAACACACATCAGCTCACTAGTCCTGAACAGTCCATGAAATAAGAATTGCTAAGCTTTCATTTCTTTCTTTTGGTTCTCCACTATCACCAGAAGTGGCTAATCCATCCACATTTACACTCTTCATCCTTGTCAGGAATTTTTTGCAATAGCTATTTGATCTAGTAAAGGTTTTTCTTAATAAGCACTTTATGTGGCCACGAGATAAATGAACTGTGTGTGCCATAGACTGCCTGTGTTCCATTTTCTTTATCACATCTAACCCGATCGGATGGTTAATCCAAATCGTCATTGCTGTTTGAGTGTACAACCTATGTCATTCCTGAAACTGCTGTATTGTCAGAGTTCTACTACAGACAACAGAATCAAACTTTACTCTCTTGACAAAGACAGGAAGTTTTAAGTTTTTAAATTATTTTATGTTTATGAGTGTATTACCCACATGTGCGTAAGTGCACCCATGTTATGCAATACCCACGAAGGTCAGAAAACGGCACTGGATCTGGAACTGGAGTTACAGATGGTTGTCAGTCGCCATGAGGGTGCTGGGATTTGAACCTGTGTCCTCCGCAAGAGCAGACGGTGCTCTCTTAACTGCTGAGCCATCGTGCCAGTCCTTATTTTTGTTTTTTAAGACAAGAGTTTCACTACGTATTTCCAGACTGGCCCAGAACTCACTATTCCAGGCTGTCCTTCAACTCATGGTGCTCCTCCTGCCTCAGTCTCTCAACTGCTGGGATTACAGGTATGTGCTTCCATGCCTGGGTCCAGGTATTGTTTAATGTTAGAAGAAAAGGAAAAGAGAGGGAGGGACAAAGCTGACTTCTAATCTCCACACGTGATGTGGCTCATGTGCCCCAGTCCCCACATCACATACATATACACATAATAAAATAAATTAAAAAATAACAATAATAAATAAAAGACATGGTGGTTTACTCGGAGGGCAAAGGCAAGCAGATCTGTCAGTTCCAAGCCAGACAGGGCTACACAGTGAGACCCTGTCTCAAAATAAACAAATAAGTTGGCAAAAATGGTTCAGTGGGTTAAAGATGCTTGCTGTCAAGCCTGATGACCTCAATTTGACTGCCAGGATCCATATAATGGAAAGAGAACCAACTGTCCTCTGACTTCCGCACATGTGCTGTGGCACATGGACCTCCCCCCAACATATATGCAGAAAAAAATTAAAATACAATAAAAATTTTTAAGTAAAATAAAATGTAAGACTTTTTCCAATCTCAGAAAACATTAAAAAAAAAAAAAATCAAAAAAGGCTTAGACAACTGCTGTTTAAGTCAGATAAAAGAGGATCACCCACCCCTTAACCATTCCATCAGCATTTAAAAACTAACAAAAAAACGTGATTCTATTTGTTCAAGCTACAAAATACAAAATTTAGTGGATGTGGTTCACTTTCCCTGAATATATGTAAAGCCATCCAAGTGGCAGTCTGGAGGCGATTCTAGCTGGCAGGTACCTACACTTTTGCTTCCCCAGTGAATCTGAAAATCTTGGGTGCAGTTATTAAAACAAAGGAACTTGCATCTTTGAATCATCAAATAGGAAAAAAAAAATGTTTACAAATTCACTTTGAAACTCTAGAAACCTCTATTAAGTCATGGGGACTTGGGAGTTTATCTGTAATTATAGTTATCATCCAGACATTAATGGTAAGACTTTTTAAAAATTCCTACTCTGTGCTGGAGATCTGACTTGGAAGTTAAGAGCACTGGCTGCTCTTGCAGAGGACCTCAATTCCATTACTAGCACCCACAGTGCGGCTAAACTATCAATAACAGCAGATCCAACAACTTCTGGCCTCTGCTGGCAGTGTATGCACAGGTGAAGTAGCATACATGCAGACAAAACACTAATACACATTTTAAAAATTCTGACTCTAGTAAGTTAAAGAATGTATGTCAAATGCATTCCCCATTTTAAATGAGAAAAATTTGCTTTAAGTATAAACATATTACATATACTATACATACATATACATAAATACATACAGATTTATAAGTAAAAGAAGTTCCTGATACTACAATATCCAACTTACAGTGTGAGCACATTTCCAACGGATAACTTGCTTCATTTCCCTGGGGGGGGGGGGGAGAAAAAAAGAGTTAGTTATAAGAACTGCCCAACTTTTTAAAAATATTAAACAAATAAGTGACACAACAGAGGAGCCATAAACTGTGTCTAGAAAGTAAGTTACACTTATTATTTAACTGGCAAGAAACCACATTATATAATGGTAGAAAGAACTGGTAAGTTGTGGTTAAGACTTACGTAAACATCTGATTAAAATATATTTCAAATACTTTTAATACCATAAATACGCTATATACCAAATTTTCACATATTATTGTCAGTGCATTAATATGTCTTAATGGGTGAATTTACTATTGCTTCTTTTTCTAAGAGTTTCTTATAGCCCAGGTTGGTTTTGAACTCCCTTTGTAGGGAAGGATGACCCTTAAGTACTGATCCTCCTCTTCCTCATCCTCCCAAGTGCTGGGCTTGTGCCACCACACCAGGAAAGATGAACTCTTTTTAAATGTTTTTTTTTTCTTGGGGGGGATCTTTTTTATTTTTATATACATGACAAGATTGTATACCAATAGTCAGTTAAATAGTACAAATTTACATTCATGAGGAAATATTAAAAAAAAAAAAAAGTCGGCTAATAATCTTAAATTACAGACTTTATCTTGGTTGTTACCCAGGTTTCTGTCATGTTGCAATAAACTTAGCAAACTATTCCAAAAAAAAAGTCAACTAAAAAACCCACTTCTTCCTGGGACCCACAATTCCACCATTTTATAGTGCAGGGGAGAAGGAGGTTTTGGGAAAGCATCCAAAAACAACTCTCAAAAAAACAAAACAAAAAAAAATTCTTAAAAATTTCACATTCCCTCTCCAGATAGGATCCATGGTGAAGTGTAATTTACAACTCATCTTTCCTGCTGTAGATTCCTTTGCTGTTTCTTGATGGTCTTCGTCTGTTCCTGCATCCACCTTCTCTTCTTTGCCTTGCTCTGTGTCATCAGCTTTGTCTTCTCCTGTGTCTTCAGGCTCTTCTTCTGGTTCTTCTTCCACCAGTGCTTCAGGGTCAATGTCTAAACTGAGGCGAAGCATTCTTTCTGGTCTATCTCCATATGCTTTGGTGTCTGGTAGAGGATAGCGGGACCAAAGAGTTGCTGTTTCAAACAAAACTACAGCAAGATCCGAGACTGTTCCGTCATCTTCGTCTTCCTTAATCCGTCGAAGCATGTCTTTGATGATCAGTGGGTATCTGGGATTAATTTCAAGTGTTTTCTTCTGACTGGCATAGTAATTTGTACAAATGTCCTTGTCTGTTTGGTATGCTTGTGCTTTCACGACCCTCTCCGTGTTGCCACTCCATTCGTACTGGCTGGCCACAAGAGCACAGGGAGACTCTGCAAGGCGCTGTGACACCACAGCCTTTTCAATCTTGTCCTGTTTTTTAAAAATTATTTATTATTTTTACTTTATGTGTATGTGTGTATTGCCTACATGTAGGTAAGTGCATCTGCGTCGTGCAGTGCCCACAGAGGACAGAAGAGGTTGTCGGATCCCCTGGAACTGGAATTACAGACAGTTGTTAGCTGCCATGTGGGTGCTGGGATTTGAATCCAGGTCTCCTGCAAGAACAGTCAGTGTTCTTAACCACTGAGCCATCTCTCCAGCCCGAAAGATGAACTCTTAAGTTCAAAGTGAGAGCATTCCTGTCATTGTTCCTTAAAGCTTAATTGCAAAATAAATTGTTAAGAAAAAACTTATTACCGATTATACACATGCAATGAAACAAAAAAATTTTCACTGTACAATTATAATACTGACATATTAACAGGAGTGGTGAGTCCAAGTTAAAACAGCGAGCCATTTAAATCACCTCTGTGTGTTTCTTTTCATAAGAAGTTACCTCTCCCTTACTTATTTTCTCCATACTTGAAAAAAAAAATGTGTTCTAGAAAAACAGACAAGGGCAATGCCTACATTTAACAACTTTCAAAGACTTCGCCCAGAACAGGTCAAATTATATAGCTGGAGATCACATCATTTATATTCTAAATATAAAAACAACAAAAAATCCTAAGTACAACAGACTCTCAGAGGTAGAGACATAAAGATCTTAACACTCTGTAGAATTTAAACATACCCATTTTCTAATCTTGGTAATATAAGGAATTACTTAATAGTAGTAAGTGAATTAACATTGGAATATTTAAATAAACTATGTGGGGGGGGCAGTTTAGTATAATCAGATGTCTTTTAAACTCCTAAAAGTATCTTTAATCCTGTGTAAACTAAAGGTCTAAGAAAAATTTACCCAGAAATCATACTATCTTCATTCCTTATGTTGCTAGTCCACAGTATTTCCTTGAAAAGTATAGCAAGCAATTACAAACTCCCATAAATTCTAGGTCATTTTAAATATCAAATGTATTAAATGTAAGAATTAAAGTGGGCAAAAAAAGAAACAGCCAAAAAAGGGCATTATTTTTTAGTAGAGATGGATCTCTGAACATTTTACTTCACCTAACTGACCTTAGACATCCCTACTTTGTCTCCTATCTTGACTGCCTTATATATGCTTACATGCCTTAATTTGAAAATGCTTTTTTTCTGCTTCATTCCTCCTGAAAAATTTTTTTTTGGGCAAGGTTCTCAAGAGTACACTGATACTTTACTCACTAAACCTTGCATTGCAAGTTTTATTTACTCTAAAACAAAATTGACTATCTTTACTGTTCTGTACGTACTGTGATTATGTGGTAATTTCAGGCATGATTTTGAAACCAGGCCCTTGTTTTTTCACCAGCTCACTGACCATTACTGTGTAACCAGTTCTTTATAACTATCATCATCCACATCTTCTATTTATCTACATTAACCCTACTAGCCAACATCTGAAGTGCCCAAGGACCAGCTAGGCTGCGACAGATGAGGAAAAGCCACCTTTCCCAGCTGGGAATAAAGATAACAAAATAATTTCTCTTTCAAATTATTCCTAATATGAATGGTTATAAATGTAAGGCTTTATTAAAGCTAGATTACATGTAAAACAATGAATATATATATATATATATATATATATATGTTTTCTAAAGATCTTTGTGTTAAGTTTCACAATGAAAATTACAGGAGCTATAGTCTCAGCAAATAGTTACAAAATCTTGGATACTAAAATCTAGCTTATATATGATTCCATGTGCATGCATCGTCTACACAAGCTTGTGTTTAAAAAAAAAATATTTGGTATCCAATTGGTCTATAAGTAAGCGCTTCTGTGAACTGGAGCTGTTAAAGGAGCTCAGCTTCTTTTTTGGCTCATAATAGAAATTAGAATTTGAGGCAAGAGGTCAACTCCAACAGACTAAGTTAGCTCACTTGGCCACATGTCCAGTATGCCAATTAAAGAAACAGAATAGGGTCTGGAAAGATGGCTCAGCAGTTAAGAACACTGGAATTCTTGCAGAAGACCCGGGTTTAAATCCCAGCATCCACATAACAGCTAACTCCAGTCCCCAGGGATCCGACAGCCTCTTCTGACATTGGCGGGCATTGCACGACATGGGTGCACCTACCTACATATGCAGGCAATACATGTGTACACATGAAATAATATTTAAAAAAGTTTTAAAAAGTAACAGAATAATGTTAAAAATCAAAGCGAGTATTAAATCGTGACCACTTTGGCAAAAAAAGTAGAGGTGACTCATGGTCCTAAATCTGAGAGAATTAACATGCGGTTTTTTTTTTTAATACTTAAAAAAAAATCCTAAAAAAAAAAAAAGACAAGATACATTTAATTATACAGTTCTAGTCAAGATGTTATCTCTTTGATCCTTAATCTTAATTTTGGTTTTACAAAATGATACCTATTGCTTGAGCATATAAATTGATTTTTAAGAGATGATTACTTGGTCTCCTTAGGTACTCTTTATCCCAAGGCTTAAAAAAAAAAAAGCCAATTATCTCTGTACTTTTAAATATATTTCACATAATATAAACATTTTAAACATTTTTAAGACATTTTGACCAATACTGCCTCTTTAGGCCAGTAAGTTTGTCAGGATACTTATCTTTGCCAAACCTATGTAAAAACGGCTCTAAACATAAAAAAAAAAAAAAAAAATCAGTCATTTTAAAAGCCTGCTTCAAAACTTACAAAGACATCTTAAAGTTTATGATCTTAATGTATTACATTACAATAATATATTTGAAATAATCATCTCCACTTTAAACTTAAAAATATGATTTAACTAAACACTTGTTAAATGATTAATTACTACAAAGGTGCAAAAATAAAGTCAAATGCCAAATTTTTATCTTCTGGATGTCTCAAACCCTGATGAACTGAATGCTTTTTCACACACAAAAAAATTTCAAGTAACTGTTAAGATATTTAAGGTATTATATTTTCTATATTTAGATAGTAACTCCTGGATTTTCATTTAAAATTATCTTATTAAAGCATTTTCTAAATCATATATACATATATAAACAAACAGCTATCAAGGTAAAGAAAATAGATTGAAGAGTTATAGGTATGAGATAATATTTTTGGCAAAGGAAGATTTAAAAATGCTTTTGGATTTCAAAAGGACTTTGGTGAAATAAAGATTGTTACAAAATGCTTAGGCAGATTAAAACCCAGCACAGAACTGTGGAAGTGGACAGCAGGCCCCAGTCTTGGTAGAGGAAATTACTGGCTGCTGATTGCTGCTGGGTGAGGAGGAGTTGATCTTCTTGGAGGGAGGGACTCTATATGGGCTGACTGGACCCGGGTGGACGAACGTGCACTGAGGGACATCTGGGGACATCATGACAGACCTTGATACAAATGATGGAGTGTATGGATGCCACTGGGTGGGGGGTATGGGAGGGTGCCACAAGGGGAAGGGCACAAAAATTCAATAAAAAAATTTTAAAAAGAGTGTTACAAAATGGAAGTGGTGGATGAAAATGTTAAGATTCAAGTATGTTGTAAAAAGATTAAGAAAATTAGAGAAATTAGGATTATAACAAAGGTTATTAAATTTTTAGGGTCAAATTTGGATTCCTTGAG